ATACAATCATGTAAATAACTTTTCCTATGTTAGTGATCCCAGTGGCAGGACTAATATTGATATTTATATAAATTGCCTTTAAATCAATATTTTATATGTATCATTTACAATTTCTTGTTTTACAGTGTTTAATCGTAATTAAGTTAACATAAGTTTAAATGAATAAAATTTTATTATTTCAAAATAATAAAGACATGACCCTTCAAATGCATTACCTTCGCTTTGAAGAGTATTCAAATACTAGTAGGCTAGACCTACTGTCAACTTTATGGGAACTTAGGGCTGTGAGTTCAAATTTCAAAAGAGTCAACATTATTCCTTTCTTTTTTCTTCTTCTAACATAATTTATGTATCTTTCATATCCCTTTTCTTACCAAACATTAATTGGAAATTATTTTCATAAGAATAATATTGTAGATTACTTAATGATTCCTTATTTTTGAACAAGGGCCCTTCTGACATCATAGCTTCAGTTTAGAAAAGCGGCCATAACTTGATTTCCGTACGATAAAGTTGTTTGAATTTTGCAGGTGTCCAATAAGGTATATATCTGACCTATGTTGTCAATTTTCCAGTTCTTTAAAGTGCCCGTTAGGGTGGTCATACCTTATAACATATTAACCTGTTTTCCCCTAAATAATTACAATCTTAACAGAAAATATAATGTAAAGTTTGGTAAAAAACATAATTAAATCATAGATTTTGGGAAATTAAGGGAGGTTACATAACAAATATATTGGGAGGCAACATGTTAATAAATTCAAACAATGCAATCTCAAGTGGAGATATATACACTTATATAAGAATTTAAATGAGTCCATGTGGTCTTAAACCAAAAAGCCCGAACCTGCGGTCTGCACATCATCTTTGTAATAAATATATTTCTGCCAAGTAAATGTAATTTTCTACTTTAGGTTCGAAAGATACTAAACAATCTTTAAAATAGTACATTATGACTAAGTGTAACTTTGACCTTGACCAGAAGAAGGTCAATACGCGCTCGACACATTGTCTAATAACGGTTAACATTTTTGCCAAGTCGTTTCAATTTTGTTTCACCAGATGAAAAGATAGAGAATACCGGATTCAAAAATCCTATATAAGTCCATATAAATCAAATTATTTCAGAGGCGATGCAAATTTTGAAACCAAGAAGCCCGAATCTGTGTTTTCCACACAATCTTATTATATGTAATATTTCTGCCAAAAAGTTTAAATTTCTTTCTTTCTATTAAAAAGATAAAGGGCGGGCACGATCTTCTAAAATTGATACAAAATGATTAAGTTACTGAAGATAGTTAATAGTTGCTTTGAAGCTTGTTGCTAAGGAAAGTCAATACTTGTGCAAATCATATATTGCTAGGTAAAGGCAAAGGTTGCTATGGAGGTTACTGGTTGTTAATGAAAGTCAATGATTGCTACTGAATTCAATGGCTGCTAGTAAGCAAGTGGTTGCTATGAAAGTCACCGATTGTTTTTGAAAGACCCGGTTGCTATGGAACTAACTGTTGATATACAAAAAAGAAAAGAAAAATACATGAACAAAAGATTTTTAATTCAATGGTCAACATGATAATGATACATGCCAAATATAACTATTGCCAGATTTAACTATTTACATAAAAAGGAATTCAATAACCCCTTGGTGCGGGACAAATGTAGACATAAGGGCTATGAATGAAATTAGAGAAACACTAGACAATATTTCATGCCAAAATACTTATTTTAAGCCAATATTGTTTTAGAATAGATATTTTTAAAGAATTTTCTACAAACATATAAGAAAAATCCATGACCCCGGAAGAGGGCCAAATAAGACTTCAGGGTAATAATTTGTACGAACTTGGTAGAGGTCCACTTGATAATGTGAATCCCCACAAATCTCAGGTCTAGCTCTTATTGTTTGCAGATATTTTTTTAAAGTTTTTACTTTATACATAATTATAAGGAAAATTCATAACACTTCGAGTCAAGTCTAGTTTAGACTAAAGGATCATAATTTGAAGTAGAGGTTTGCTAGCAAATCTGCATTCCAAATATCTAAGTTTTAGCCATCGTGGATTTAGAGAAGTAGAATTTTGAAGAATTTCTGCATATTATCAGGAAATTCCATAAAACTCGTGAGCATGGCAAATTTAGACCTCAATGGCTTTTTTTTTAAAAAATTGGTAGACGTCCACAAAAGAATCTGTCATGCCATATTTATCTTATTTAGCCTTCATGGTTAATCATAACTATTATTTTACTATGTACTATTTACATATAACGGAAATATATGACAACGGGGCAGGGTAAATTTTGTCCGAAGGGCTATAATTAAGATAGTTTGTGAAAAAGTCCACTTGGTATTGTTACATTCTAAAAATCTAAGATCTACCTGTTGCAATTTTCAAGAAAAATATTGTTACAGTATATTATATTTAAAGCAAAGCTTTAACCCTATGGAGCGGACCCAAAGGATAGAATTTGGACCTTTCTCATAATGTTTCATTAGATGATGCTACACGCAAATATCTTAGCTCTAGGCCTTGCACTTTCAGATAAGAAGATTTTTAAAACTTATTATAGCCCATATGACTAACGTTCAATAGAGCAGAACCATTTTAACAATTCCAGGGAAATTTCATGAAAAATTCAGCTAAAACTGAAGCTGAGAAGGCCAACCATGTCTTATTTGACCATTAGAGTGTCAAAAATTCTGCCACACATGAATGTATAAAATTCATTTAAGACAGGAACCGTGGTCTTCTAATTATACAAGTCCTGCGCAAGTAAGACAGATATATTGTAGACAAGGGGTGGACGTTCGGACGGATACCGGACGACTTACGATCAAAAAGGTCACATGAGCATTTGCGTAAGGTAACTTCACTTAAACTATTGACATGTTGTGGGGGTGTATAGTAACTAGACAAAATGTGTTGTTGTTTCCAGATTCGACCTTTACTGATCAACAATCATATATAGTGTAAACAACAATACAATGTTAAGTCGGAAGTGACGTTAACGTAAGCGCGGAACGTCACGTTATGCAAGGCGCTATAAATGACGTTACCAATTCCCGACATACTCGGGGCGCGAAATGTTATTTAAAGTTTAGTAATAAATCCATTATTTGAACACTACAGTTGCTATAGTGCCTCATATAAAGTATTATTAATTAAGAGACAGTGTCATAAATATTGAATACAGTCTCTTATTCATGTATCACCTTTCCTTGGAAATTTTAGATTAATACATTTCGAGGGGGTAAAGTTTAACAATTGCGCGATTTGTGAGTCCATTTTGAGTTCGAATTTTAGCACTTCGAATAAGTCTATCTTTTCCTGGCACGAGTTCTTCAACCACAGCAAGTTTCCATAATAAGCGGGGAACATCGTCGGGGACTAATACAACGTCTCCAACGGATAGCGTCTGGTCATTTTTGCCAGTAGTCTGATGACGTTCTCGTAAAGCTGTCAGGTATTCGTGACGCCATCTATCCCGGAAGTGGTTAATTAACTTCGTTTGTATCGTAGCCTGTTTGATAACTGACGATCGGTCACTTGGGTAGGGAATGTACGTGTAAGGACATCCTCATAAGGGAGTTTGGTTATTCGTCTGCCACAAAGTAAGTGTGATGGTGTAAGTTCTTCCGGTTCATCTGAATTACAAGAACAAACATATGTCAACGGCCTATCGTTAATCATGGCCTCGATTTCTGTGATTACAGTCTGTAAAGTTTCGTAGGTTACAAAGGAACGTCTTATTGTTGTTTTCGTCAGACCTATGAGACGTTCCCACATTCCACCAAACCAAGGGCGCGTTAAGGTATCATCTTCCACTCAATTCTTCTGTTGTTGAGATCTTCTCTAACTGTGAGTTAGTGAAACAAATCTCTTAGTTGTTTTGAGGCTGATATGAAGGTGTTAGCGTTGTCTGATATCATGACATAAGGGACAGATTTTCTGCTACAGAAACGTCGGAAAGCTTGAAGGATAGGTTTGAAAAAAGTTCTAGGTGAACTGCTCTCGTAGTAGCACATGTAAACAATCATAAGTAAGCTTTTATGTCTCTTTTGTTACTATCCCGAACCAGTAATGCTCCAGAGAAGTCTACTCCTGTATAAGTAAAGGGTTTTTACGTCAGAAACTTTACACTTTGGTAATGGAGGTGGGTCAGGTGCTGAATAAGGTTTCCCAATAACCTTTACACAACATGTACATTTACGTAATATGTTTTTTACAGTTTGACGAATCGAAGGAATCCAGTACTTCTGTCTAAGTTGAACTAACGCCGGCATGCAATAATCTGGAATGTGCGTCGTTGACACTTAACTTTGTAAAAGGATGCTTAGCTGGTAGTAGGTACGGGAATTTGGTCAGCTCGTCTAATGGAGCATTGTGGATACGACCACGACACTTTAAGATGCCATTGTCTAAGAATAACTGAAGTTGTCTACATAATGGAAGTTTGTTTCTTTTTGATTTTGTATCTTCTTTTTCTGCTTGATATTTGGACATCTGGCAACTCCGTATGCGCATCTCCTCAGCTCTGCGTAGTTCGTCTGTAGTTAACAAATCTAATCTTCCAGTATGACTCCCGCCTCGACACTTGATTATAAAACGCAGGACATAAGCTGTAAATCTGAGCAGCTTTGTTAACGAACTGATTCTTGACATGTCTATAAAACTGATGTTGCTTAATGGTAAAATTGTATCTTTTGGCTTGGTTGTTGGGTCAATAAACGTTGTCAAGGTAACGTAAGTATCTTTTTCTTGCCAAACTGGTCAACTGTAGGGTGTGGTAAACCATGTAGGTCCATGAAACCATAGATTACTGTTCTTGAAGTGAGTCACAGAGATTCCCCTCGTAAGTAAATCGGCAGGGTTTTCTTTCGTCGGACAATAATTCCATTTCCGGTTTTCGGACAGCGCGTGGATTTCAATCACTCTGTTCCTTACAAATCGTGGAAGGGTTTTAGGCGTCTGAAGCTAAGAAAGCACAATCTGACTATCTGACTAAAGGTATATCTGTGCTATGCTGGTGTTGTGCTGCAGATGTTTACTGAGTCGGGATCCAATTACTGCCGCCATTAGCTCTAACCTAGGTAACGTTAACTTCTTCAATGGAGCAACCCGAATTTTAGCCATTAACAGAGAAGATTGGTTGTTTCTACAGATGCAAGCCGTAGCACCATACGATACCAAGCTAGCGTCGCAGAATATGTGAATGCACGTGTTACTTGATGCGTTTAATGTATTTTCGAAGTAGTATCTAGGCAACGTAGTTTTTGTCACGGAATTCAAATCTGTTATTAAACTACGCCATTTTTCTTGAATACTGTCAGGTAATGACATATCCCATTCAAACTTCTGTTGCCATAACTCCTGTAGAAGTAATGTAGCTCTGATGGTAACTGGACTTAGTAAACCCAAGGGATCATAGATTCGAGATGTATGCTGCAATATTTCTCTCTTTGTTACAATCTGGGTATTTGGTATGTTTCTGACCGGATACAGTAAAACGTCACTATTTGTGTCCCATTTCATTCCAAGTATCTTAGGATTTGTGCATTACCTACTACTGAATCGTTGATTGCCTGATTTTGAAGCATTTTATTGTTTGAACTCCAAGACCTAAGGTTAAAACCTGCAGATGACATTAGCTCACGTGACTCGCTGTAGAATTGTAGAAGTTGTTCTTCCTGTTGGAAACTTGATATCACGTTATCAACGTATAGATCTTGACGTAGGTATTCGCTAGCTTTCTTGTCGTTGTTAAATTCAAGGTGCTTAAGTATAGTTGCGCAGAGAATAAAAGGGGACGACGTAGCCCCAAAAAGGACTGCTCGGAATCTATATGTTGTCAATTCGCTGTTGGGGTTACTAGGATCACTCAACCATAGAAATCGCGTCACATCTCTGTCGTTCTCTCAAGAGTGATGTTGAGGAAAGCTTTCTCAATATCGGTTGCTATGGCGTATTTATTTATTCGAAAACGAATAAGAATTCCAGTTAAATCATTCAGTTCAGGTGGTGTCGACATCAAGCAATCGTTCAGACTAGGCTGGTCACGTGACTTACAACTGCAGTCATACACGATGCGGATAGGTGTCGTGTTCGAGTCCTTCTTTACATAATGATGTGGTATATAATGTACAGGGTTTGATGTGGTAACATTTGCATCTCTTTTTCAATAAAACCGCATTTTAACTGATCTATGATTTGTCCATAGTTTATAAGTATATCCGGTTCTGTTGAAAGCCGTTTAATTGTGTTTTCTGTACGCTTTCTGCAAATTTCGTAATTTGTAGGAAGAACGGAATGATCTTCTTTCCAGGGCAGTTTTGCAACATAACGTCCATTTGTACGTGATACAGTTTTCTTTATACTCGTTAAGTATACCGGAAGTAGATTTCTCAGTATCATCTTCTAATATCTCCATAGATTCTTACTTCCAGAATCTCTCAAGTTATGTGGCATAAGGTGGCGCTGTTATAACATTAAACATATAGCTAACAGACGACGCATTTTTAACTTCCGGAAGGGGTCCTGACAGTAAATAACCGAGCTTTGATTTCACTGCCGTAGGTCCGTTGCCCCTAACAACCTTATTCTGCACGATCTGCCAAAAATAGTAGGCTCCAATCAAGAGTGATATCTCGAAATCGTCGTCAGTGTCGGTAATAGGATGTGCAAGTTTAAGACCTTCGATATATTTCAGACATTTCACATTTCTCTGCAAGTTAGGTAATGGTACAACAATGGTTGGTACAATAAGTACGTCAAGTGGTATGATCTCTCTATGTTCGACGTGTAGAAACACTCTGCCTGTGGGTATATGACGACACTGTTCTGATTTGCCACCAAAAGATGCTAATGATATAGTGTCCGAACCGTTGGGCTTTAATTTCAGTTTCTCAGCAAGCTCTTCCGTAATAAATGACCTTTGAGCACCTTCGTCAAATAATATGTTTGTATTAGTTATGGTATGGTCTTGGGAGCTTACTTGAGCGATAGCAGTCTTGAGTAGAATGTTCGATCTTTGATGCGTAGTTAAATGAAGAATAGCAGTTCCTGCATTTCCTGTTTGACCGGAAGTAGAGCTTATAAATGAGGTTGCATGTGGATTCAAATCGAAATTCGATGGTTGGTCACAAATACTAGAATGGTGCTTTTGCTGGCATTTCTTGCACTGAAACTTAGAACGACACTCTGAAACTTGGTGTTTTTCCCAGACAATTATACCACATACGTTTAGATTTAATGATAGTTAGTTTTTCTTCACGTGTTTTAACTTTTTCACAATCAAGCGACTTGTGGTCACCTTCACAGAACAAACATAATTTCTTACCATTATCATTATCTCTTGTGTGCGAAAATTTCTTAGATGGGTATTTTTTTCTTTCCGGTTCCGGTGAATAATGATGCCGTCGGCAAGTGTGATTCTCTTATTTCGTCAGTTATGCCCATTTCTAGGATGTTTATTTCTCTGGCGATAGAAGTTCTCAAATCTTGTATGTGCCATCGTACATTTCCGTGTTCTCGAGCTAAATTTCGTCGTACTTCGGAGGGAAGTTTTTTCATGATTATGGGTATCAATAAATCACCATAGGAACCCTGACTCTCACCTAAAGATTCTAAACCCCGGATGTAGTTTTCCATTTTGTCGTGAAACCTGCGTAGACTCGTTACACTGTTGTCTGGAATCGGCAAATCTAAAAGCGACTGCATGTAACTATCAATTATTTTATGAGACTGTCCGAATCTTTCTTGTAACAAATCTATTGCATTCTGGTAATTTCCGTTAGTTAATGGAAAACCTGCTATGGCGGTATATGCAGTATCTTGTAGTAAGGAACGTAAATAGTTGAACTTTTGGACATCAGACAGTGTTTGGTTCAAATGTACAGCAGCCTCATACGAGTCCCAGAATGACTGCCATTTTTCAACATCTCCATCAAACGTAGGCAAACTCAGTTAAGGTAGTAATTATCAGACGACACCCTTTGGTTATGAATAGAAAAGTTCTCACTTGATAAAGTTCTAGCACTACCGTTAATGTCGTGTGAATTACGGATCACGCTGCCGCAGCCAGTGTTATTAGATTTGGTAATATCTTCCTTCAGTTTTCGTAGTTTCAATCGTAAATCAATTGAATATTAGTCACTCTCTACCAATTCTATTTCCAAATCGTCAATATCTGCATGATTAACAATCTTATCGTTGAGATTCTTGATAATCTCGGCTTTTTCTTCCATGATTTCGAGTAGGGCTGACTTCTCCGAAAGTGACAACTCGTCGTTAAATTTCTCCAGTTGTCTAGAAATAAGACGTCGCTGGCCCTCTCTAGTAGAAATAAGCTTCTGTAAATTCATTGTGATTGTAGAATTTCTCACGGCACCAACAATGTGGGGGTGTATAGTAACTAGACAAAATGCGTTGTAGTTTCCAGATTCGACCTTTACTGATCAACAATCATATATAGTGTAAACAACAATACAATGTTAAGTCGGAAGTGACGTTAACGTAAGCGCGGAACGTCACGTTATGCAAGGCGCTATAAATGACGTTATCAATTCCCGACACATGTATTACCAAGTTCCTTTTTCGCATTGTCAATAATTATCTGCATTGCTTCTAAATCAATGTCTGTCTGAAGATTTATTGGCTTGCCAACTTCTTCCGATAATGCGTCTTGCAATGCAGAAAAAGGATTTCTTGCTGCGTCGCCACTTCCAAACAAATCTAAAGCAGTTTTGAGACTATCTAATCCAGAACATTTGACGGCAACCTTTACGGTTTTGCTACATCCTAAAACAATGACCAACAACAATTAAAGAGGTGTGTTGCGATGGTGATGTCGCTCAAGATAGTGTAACTACTGCAGGGAACAAATCTTACATGAGCGAAAAAAAATGTTTAAATTACTTTGGTAAATTAAGGTACAATTAAAAATAAAGATAAAATAAGATATTTTAAAAGTTAATTCCTTTTGCTAAGCTCTGGTGGCCATTTCGATCAGCAAACCGAAACCATTATTTGTTTTATTTATTTACCTCAAAAGATAACCTTTGAATAGGATATGGTTCAAAATATAGTTCTGTTAATAAAGTGTAGCTCTAGCAGCATATGCTGAAGACCGATTTGTACGAATCGTGGCCGTGTAATTATCACATAAATGGCAGTAATACCGTGATAATCCATGTATTGTCTTATAAATACCCCAAGTGACTTGAAATTAAACCCTTTTTTTCAAAAAAGAAAACTTATCTTCATTTCACATTTTTTTCTGTAAAAAAAAAAAAAAACCACAAAAATTAAATTTCAAAAAAAGTTAAGAACCCCGGTTTAAAAAATTTAAATTTTTTTCTTTTTTAAATACTGCTTCTTGTTTTAAATTAAAAAAGAAAAAGCAAAGAAAAGGGGTTAGAATCTATTTCCCCTTTTATATTTATTTTAAGAATGAAAATTTTAAAAAAAAAAAAAAAATTTTCAATATCAAAAATTTAGTAAAGTCTCTATTTAACATGCCCAAAATTTCCCTTTTCTCTTGTCACAGTTATTTAGACAGCTTTCTTCGGGCTTTTTGGGCTATCTTTCGCAAATAAAAGCTCTTCAAAATTTTAAAAATTTTTCTTTTTGTTTTTAAATTTGCTTCCTGTTTTTTTATTAAAAATTTCCCATGTCAAATCCAAAATTGTTTTTTTTTCACTATGTTGTTAAAGAACTTTTCTTACCAATTTTTTTGGGGTTTTAACGTTTTTAAATTTTTGGGTTTATTAAAAATACAGATTGACATCCTAAAAAATAATATTTTGCCCTCCTTACCAGTTTTGGTTTAAATTTTTTGCCCCTTCCGGTTTTCCCCAAATTAGGTTGAAAACCCGTTTTTAAAAATTTTTTTTTTTTATTTTATGGGCCTTTTTCTTCCGTGTTTTTTTTGTCGGTTAAAATTGTTTGGTACCATCCCTTCAAAAAATGTTTTTGTTAAAGTATATTTTTCTTTGTTCCTTAAATTTCCCCAGTAAACGGTCAGTTAAAAACTTGCTGAAAACCCCAATCTTTTTTTAGTTAGTTCTAAAAGACACCCGGGGTATTTCATCTAAAAGGTTGTTGATAGGGCTATCAAAAAAGTCTTCAGAGCAATTTAAAACTTAAATGTTGGCTTTGATCGGGGGAAAAATTTGACCGGGGGACGTCTTCAACCCCCCAAATTTATCTTCTATCCTTTAAAAGTTGTTATGCCTTCCCAAAAAGTCTTTGGGTTTGTAATGATTTTAAAAGACTAGGATTCTTTTTCACTGACAAAAGGAAACCCCCCCTTTTTCTCATCAACTGCTTTGTTTTTAAAACCTCAATTTTACAAACCCAAAAACCCGCTGCCAAAATTTTGAAATTTGAAATTTTTGTATAAAAATTTAACAAAACCCTTTCCCTAAATTAAAAAAAATTTCTAAAAAAAATTTTGTTCGTTTTTGGTGTTTAAAAAATTTGGGGAGGTTTGGTTTTTTGTTTGGTCCCTTTTTAAGTTTTGAAAAAATCCCCCT